CACCAGCGGCTTGCTGGCCGCGCCAGGGGCCCTGCCCCCGCGTGGGGTCACGCTCCTAGGCTGGGCAGGTGCGGGCTGGGGTTCCCAGGACGGGTGGGGGGGCCCATCCAGGCTGGTTGGCTGAACCCGCTGCCTGGCCCCCGGGGAAGCTGCACACCTGCGCCCACGGTGACGCAGGTGCCAACTAGTGCAGGCCAGGGGCTGCCCCCGGCTCCCGCAGGCCCCGAGGGGCTCTGAAACGGGGTCGCCCAGCGCCCTCCTGTGGAAACTGACAGAATTAGGGCACGTAGGAGTAGGGGTTTCTGGGGTCGGGTCCAGCAAGCCCGCAGGTGGGGTGACAGGGCTGTTCTCTGGGGGTGGCCTCTGGCCTCCCCCTCCTGGGCAGGCACATGGTTGCCTGCCCGAGACTGGCCCAGGTTGGAGCGTGTGGTCAGGGCCCCGGCCCCCCAGCCCCAGACAGTCGCCTGAGCCAGATGGTGGCTGCGGCGGGGCAGGGGCGCTGTGGACACCCCCGGCTGCCGCCGCCCTGGACTCAGCGAGGCCTGCTCATGCTGTTCCTGGGTCAGGGCCCTGGACACGCGGGCGGGGTGTGGAAGCGGCTGTGTCCTCCACCCGCTGCACTCGGCGCCAGCCCAAGCCCAGGGGACCAGAGGCTGAAATGAGCCGCGCTAATGTGGGTGGCCGACTGGCCTAGAAAGGCCTCCCCGCCGGGGCGGGGGCCGCGGGGGGCGGCGGCGCGGAACCCTGGGTGCGGCAGTGGGAGGGGGGCGGGGCCAGAGGTCCCGAGTGGCCATCTTGCCCGTTGTGGGCCCGTGTGTCCTGCGCGTGTCGCCGCCCTGCGCACTGCGGGTGCCCTGGCTGGGACTCGCCACGTCGCAGCTGCGTGAGCACCGGCCTGGGGCCGCACTTGGCGGTGGCCTCCCTGGCCAGTGGCGGCACATGCAGCACGGTGCCGGCGCGCAGCCTGGCCAGTCCGTCTCGGGGTCCCCACGAGCTAGGTGGCATCGGGCCGTGCTGCCCGGCAGGTCGTGCCGGCCCGCGGGACGCCCGCCAAGGTCACCCTCGGGATGGGGAGGCAGGGAGGGCCGCGCCCCGAACAAGTGGGTCCAGCTGCCGCAAGACACCAACTGCCCGCTGGTGCCCGGCCCATGCTCCTGTGGCGAGAGGCAGCTGGCCGCGCCCCTGGGCGGCCAGAGGCCCAGGCCCGCGGACAGCCGCCATAGCTTGGGGAAGCTGCGCCCTGGCCGGCGGGGTCCGCGCTGCCCCGTGGTCGCGGAGAGTACCGGTGCTCCACCGCCTGCCGGCAGGGGGCGCTGCCCGCGGCTCCCGCTTCTGGACGGCGCGGGCGCACTGCAGATGGGACTGGGGGGCCGCACGCTTCTGGCCGAGCCTCCCCTGGGCTTTGTGGCTTCCTGCTGCCTCGGCGAGGTCGGGCCTTGCCGACTTAGCAGGGGGCCGTGGGACCCCCTGGTGCCGGGCACCAGCGCCCTCACGTGCACCCAGAGAGGGAGCGGCGCCCCCTGTTCGTGCTGCGCTGCCATGAGGCGGGCAGAGGCGCGGGCGCGGCGAGAAGACGCTGCTGGCAGGACGGGTCTGTCTC